GTTTGTGGAACCACACTAGACTGCGAGTGGACCTTTTGGTCTCACGCCCAATGAAGTTAGACTGATATCCGTGTCACCAAGCACGGTCAAGATGCCACCGAAGTTTAATGGCACAAACTTCAAAATCTGGCAACAAAAAATGATGCTCTTCCTGACGATTTTGGGCTTTGCTAAATACCTTAATCAAGATCCTCCTCAGGTGACCGAGGACTGCGACCCCCTTGTGGCAATGTTAAATCACACTTGGTATCACAATAATTACCCGTGTGTGAACTACATCCTAGAGGGGTTAACGGAGACATAGTACCCCATTTATTGCCACACCATACTCGCAAAAGAGCTATGGGAGAGCTTGGACAAGAAATATCAAGCAGAAGATGCCAGCACGAAGAAGTTCATCACTGGAAAAGTCTTTGACTTCAAAATGGTAGATAACAAGTTCGTTGTTGCCCAAGCCGAGGAGCTCACAGTTATCTTTAATAAGTGCAATGAAGAAAAAGTGTGCGTCTCTGTCTCACTAAGGACTTCCAAGTGGCAGCCATTGTACATAAGCTTCCACGGTCATGGGAAGACTTTCATGCGGACCTAAAGATCAAGAGGACTGAGCTAAATGTAGAGTATTAGCTCCTCACATGCTTAAGATCCAAGAGGAAGGGCTTGCTAGGAGAAATGGAGGTGCAAAGGCAAATGTTGTTGAGCATCCGTCAGGCTTCTCACATGGTGGTAAAGACAAAAAGAAACTGGGTCCTAAAGGTAGCATTTCCAAGTTCGTAGGGAAATGCTATAGTTGTGGCATTATGGGACATCGATCATCTGATTGTAGGAAAAAGAAGCCTCAGAAGAACAAGAAGTAAAATGCGGCTCTTTGGACAGAATTAGACAACTTGGATCTATGTGCAGTTGTCACCGAGGTAAACCTTGTCGGGTCAAACCCAAAGGAATGGTTTGTGGACACAGGAGCCGCACGACATATTTGCTCCAATCGGAGCATGTTCCTTTAATTCAAAGAGACCTCAGGTGAAAAAGTGTGGATGGGAAACTTGACCCAATCTGAAGTCCAAGGAATTGCAAGATCAAGCTGAATTTTAAACATGGATTTTAATGATGTTCGAATCAAATAAGCTGATCTTGTCTAAGAAGGGCATTTATATACGATAAGGATATATTTCCAATGGTCTTGTAAAATCAAATGTAATGACTATTAATGAAAAGATCAATAAAATTTTTGTTGCTTATGTGTGTGAGTCTTCCTGTTTATGGCATGGTAGACTATCGTTTGTCCTTCTCCTTTGTTGAATTCTCATGGCGACCCTTCTGATCGAAAACAGCAACGCGGGCCGCAGTCGGGAATCGATGCTCTCCCTCGCGATATACCCTTCCAACTATGGAAATTGCAGCAACTACTTCGATTTCAGCAGCGTCGAAGTACTAGTAGCGGTAAGGCCGAACGCGATAGACGAACCCGGGTAGCAAATTGACCTAGGCATCGCGACTGCCCTCCGGCGATTCCCCATATGCTTTGGCGTGCCCTCATCTTCTCTGTCTCTCAATGTCGTGAGTAGAGGAATACAAGGTCGGCGATTTTGCTTCCAACCTGCGACGGTCATGGGTGGCTGCGACAAAGGGAATTCAGTGTTTAGGCAACAGCACTTGGGAAGTTTCAAGTGGACCCCAGCAACCTATGGCAGCGATGACGAGGTCGGGATGGCCGCACTGAGTTCCATCCAGGAGCAGGTAGGCGGATGAGCCACCAACAAAGTTCTTGAGACGTCTAGATTACGACAAACAAGTACGGGCACTGGTGGCACGACCTTCGTTGATGCTCGATTTGCAATGTTCTTTATTCGATTGAATCGAAATCAACCAAGGTGAGTACGTGGACATCTAATACTATAATATGCATTTAGGTTTGAAATTTCGTTCATAATTGTCATTGTGATTGATCTATGTGACTTACCAGTGTAATTGTGATTGTGATTTTGAGAATTCTTGTCGTTGAATAAAAAAGGGTAGTATGCATGATTTTGGCATTGATTGACCATGTAATGTGCTTGATATTGTTTGCAATGATCTTTTTTTACGTATTTATGTCTATTGGTGTGAATTTGGTATTGGTTTCATTGTTGTGATTTAAATGGTGCTAGAATTGTAATTTTGTTGTGGTACTACCGGTATGGCACCGCGCTAATTCCGCCCTCTGTTCTTCTTGTTCTCCTCTGCTACTAGCTGTGACCGTTTGGTACCTAGGTACCATGCAGACGGTAGGCCCTACCGCCGAGTCGAGAGTCGGCTACCGTAACATGCCTACTAGAAGGGTTCAATTGTTACAGACGGTACCCATGTACAGTAGGATTGTTACCCAGGTACCGTGATATGTACCATCCGAGACCTGAGTTCGGGCCTAATCTATGTTTCCGTCAAGGATTGACTCTGAGAGTTTGTGTGTTGCATGACGGTAAACATGGGTGTTTACACCCCATGTTAGGCTGCTATTTGATCATGTTGGATATATTGTTAAATGCATTATGGTTTTAGGAATGTTATATTATGAATTATTAATGGATGATGAATATATTACCTAGAGGAACTCTAGGGAATTACCTTAATGGGTTAGTGGCAAAGTATGCCGCCATAGGTATAATAGATTAGAGCCATGTTGTACCTGCTGGGTCCAATGGCTATTTGGATTTTTTTGGATTTTAAAAGTCAGTGGGTATTCAATTGAGATTTTATAAATCATTTAAAATTTTAGAGTATTCAATTTAGATTTTTAAAATTCCACCAAAATCTAAAAGTATATAACAATCCATTGATTTGAAAAGATTTGTATTATGGCTAGATTTTGATGGATTTAGGAGTCATTTTTCTAAAGAAAAATCCAGTGACAAATCTGTGGCTATTTCCAAAGATTTCAACGGACTTGGGGGAGCATAGATATGAAGGTGATATTCGGCACAAGATTTGGAGCTTTGGTCCGGCGATTTGGTCCCACGTCGATTCCTGTGGAGCTTTGGTCCGACGATTTAGTCCGGCGAGTGCTTCATGGCAACAGTGAGGAGAAAGCGAAGCCGGAGACAACAAAAACCTACCGGCGACCACAAACAAAACTACTCGGTGGAGGAAAGAAGAAGAAGAAGAGAGGCAGCAACAGTGAATCTGGGTGGCGACGATGGTGGCGGTGGCGGCGTGGGAGCTGAGCCGGCAAAGGAAACAAAGAAGAATAAAGGTAGCAGCAGCTAGGGTTTGTGGGGGAAGTAGGAAAAAGAAAAGAAAAAGAAAAGAAGAGGGAAAGAGAAAAGGGAAGCAAGGTCGTGGGGGAAGAAGGGAAAAAGAAAGAAAAAGAAAAAAGAAAAAAGAAAAGGGAAAAAATGAAAAAAAAATCAAAGATAAAAGAAAAGAAAAGGAAAGTAAAAAATATTATGTATCCATAAATCATTGATTACAAATAATCTGTCAAAATCATAAAAAATCCTTCTAAAAAATAAATTAAAATCTACCTAACTCCACGTAGACTTAGGGGCTGTTTGTTTCAGCCTCTTAATGGTTCAGATATCTGAATGGTTCAGCACTTAATGGTTCAGACTGTTTGTTTCAGCCTCTTAATAGTTCAGATGTCTGAATGGTTTAGACATTTGCCTCTGAATGTTTAAGTATTATACCGAGTCTGAATGGTTAAGACCTCTTATCTGAATTGATCAGACATTTTCCTCTGAATAGTTAAGCAATATACTAGTTCTTAATGGTTCAGACCTCTTACTGGTTCAGCACTTAATGGTTCAGACCTCTTACTGGTTTAGCACTTACCTATTCAAAAGTTGCCAAACAGCCCCTTAAAATAATCCATTGATTTTATACAATCCATGAATTCTAAACAATCTATTAGAATTTGGATTGAATGCACCCCCTTAGAATATGTTATGTGCCAGTAAGTGGATAGAATCAGAGGTATAGTAGTAAGCTTTAACCTAGCATAGGTTATGAGGCCAGTAAAAAGATCAAGTCAGGTGATCAAGTAACGAGAAGGTAATATTCTATGTTTCTTAATGTTGAACATTTTTATATGATGTGTGTGATATTATGTATGATATGCTTGTGTGCATCATATAATGTGATAGTTATGAATTAGTGGATTCACCTAGGTGTATGCATGCACGAACTGTTAGATATTTCCCGCTCAACTTCATTGCTGAGTGTTTAGCCTCTTTTTCCCCTTTGTTACACGTAGGTAATCGTGGAAGGATTGACTTGAATCTATCTTGGAAGACAACATGACGGAAGAGATGTATGGATGCAGGGATATACGAGATTAATATTTTATTAAATTAAAAAGCTTCCACACAGTTGTATAAACTCTGATGAGTATTTAAATTGTTTTTAAATTGTTTGAGTTTTAAATTAAATGATTTAATTACTTGGAAAATATTGTATGTGGATACCAATTTAGTAGCAACTCGGGTTACTAACCTATTTATTTGGGTTACGTGGATTGAGATGTTACAGGTCAATTTCAGGACTACTTTTATAAGACAAATCTTCATCCTCGGAATTTTTAAATCTTCCATCACTCGTTTTCATAAATGAGTCATAATTACATTTGCCCATCTAGATAATAATGACACAAGAAGAAATAATTTTATATTTGTCCAATGTTCTCACTATTTTTTTTCTTTAGTTTTCTTAATGCTCTTTTTAATTAGAGTAACCAGTTTAATTCACATAAGGGTAAACATGACAAGGATAAAAACTATGAATACACAAACCAAAATAGAACACGGATCAAATATTTGTTGTAAAAAGTAGTCATTTTTCCCATTGATCGAGATTTTGGACAATCTTGGATTTGGCAATTATGTAATTTGATATAACCATATTTAAGAAAAAATGGTATAAGTATTTTCAATACTTAACAAGGTAGTATATCATTTTTTAAATATGGAGGGAGTATGTTTTCTGTTTCATTGTTTGATGGATTGCTTGTGTCTTTTGGATTTTCACAACAGAAAAATATACTCACTTTATCTTCCACTTCTCTGATCGCATTAGTTTCTGAACTGATAATAAATTGCTTCATGTCATTGTTGATCAAATTGCACGCTTGGAATAAAATAGAAACAAGAAAATATCTTGGCATAGATTTAGGAAGATGAACGAACTAAAAGTGTGTGTGGGTGAGAGAGAGAGAGAGAGAGAGAGAGTGTGTGTGTGTGTGTGTTCAGTGTGAGCGTGAAACTGTGAATACAAACCATAAGCAATATTTATTGCAGTTTCCATTTTGTCCCCAGTAAGCACCCAAATTTTGATTCCAGCCCTAGAAAGTGTCTCTATGCATGCAGGCACTCCTTCCTGAAGCTTATCTTCTATAGCAGTGCAACCAATCAAAACTAAATCCTTCTCAATGAGTTCTGCCACCAGCACAATAAGATCAACAAGATTAGATAATCTGGGAAGTAAAATCTATCATGCAACACACAAGTTGCTACTTCAGAAAATGTTGCAAGCTTCGTGTACAAGCTATACATCCTCTAACTAAATTGATAGTATTTTTGAATAGGAAATAATTCAGATCAGTTTCTTCTTGGCAAATTCTAAGGCGCGCCTTAGGTGCATCTAAGAGCCATGGAATTTCTCACATAAATGAATTACCATTTAAATAATGTTATGAGGTGCATTTACTTAATTTGTTTTAAATTAATTTCCTTGTGTGAGAAGGTCCAGGCATTTTTATGTGCACCTAGGGTGCATTGTAGAAGCACACTTTGTTCTTATCAAGAAAAATAAAGGGCTAATTGAGATTTATTGAATTTTCATGCTAGTGACCAATGGCTTATGTGGTCAAGAGAAAGCACCCTGACCTCTACAGAAGATGCAGTCCAATTCGTATTGTTTTAAAGTGAAGCCACCTTATTCAGAATATTTCAGATATTTTCACATAGAAGAATGGATAGTAAACTGCAATAATTGTACTATAATAGTTGGACATAAAGCCATTTTTTAATTTTTCCTTGAAAACAAACATAAAAAATACAAAAGGCTAGAAAATATGGTGGTTTACCTCATCCAATTTCTTTTCACGGTCTCGCAGAGATGATTTTGCTTGAATATATTTATCATTCCAATTTTCATATGCATCCGGATTTAAGACTCTGTAAGCTAAACAAAGTGTGCGTAATCCAGCAGCTCCAAAGTGCTCCAAATGCTCCCTGGTTCTTTTTTTCAAATCATTATCTCCACTGGCCAGCCTTTCATAAATTACAGTGTCAGCACCCTGTGATAAAGGATTTTGTGATATATCATTTCTTCATGTATTGATGTTTCACATGTTTCTAGCCTTTATGAAGCTGTTACCTTACAGTACAATACAAGCCTGCCATCAGGGTATCGGCATACGACAGACTGACGTTTCCTCGTACTAAATGCAAAACAAAAGTCAAGTTAAACTTCAGTCTTACTAAATGTGCAAGGATACTTCACATACATGTTTCAGAAAGGTCACCTATTAAATTCAAGCACATTCAGGATTTCATATGGAACATCTTGAATGTTTCCCATCCTTTCAACATGAGACTCGCGCACATATATCATAGTAGGTGTACGCCTGTGGAAAACATTGTGTAATCCCTATTATCAAGCAATGATCATATGATGACTAACTTTAGTAAGCAACTAAGCACAACTCATGTGAAAGTAGAATACCTCAAATACCGCTGATCCACAAGTATTTAAAAAAAAAACTTTGATACTAAACCTAAAGATACGATGCCTGACAAGGTCAAGTTTCCCTAGGGTTTCCATTGAGGACAACACTCTTCCGCTAAACTCTGTCAAGGATGAGTCTACCATATCTAAACCCCTAATAGAAGGCTAGGGATAGTATTAAGAAATATGTGTTGGAAACTGTGGCATGGCAAAGGAATCACCGAGGGAAGCAGTTATTATGTGTCAAGAGAGTAGCAGACTAAGAAGAGAGCAAGAAGATAAGAGATCTGCATGATACTGTTGTTTTCTAACAATGCATACTGTTCAATCAACTGGTTTCTGAAATATCATCAAACCTTTTCGAAATAAATATACTCCTGCATTAGGCTTTTGAAAGTGAAACGTATCTAGAATGAAATAAAATGTTTGTAAGAGATTCTAAAGAGCCGCACTTGCAAAAAAAGAATCCAAAATTCTTTGCTGCCACAACCAAAGCAGCCTCATCAGGTGATGCTGCTTGAACATATTGCAAGGCATCTGAAGAATTCCTGCACAAACTTGGTATTAATTGGACAAGATCACAACATGAACAAAAATAATACTCCGTAAGAATTAGTGTATGTGAGATTTCTACCGTGCAAAGACTGCAAAAAATAAAAAATAAGAAATACCCCTTAATTCACATGATAAAACACTAAGAAATGTTTGTTGAATATATGAATGTTTGAAAAGATGAGCCACCAAGAGAGCTTTAGGTATCACTTATGCATTAATATAAATTGTAAATGAGAGCTGACCAAATTGTAAATAAGATCAAACCATAAATTTAATTTGGGGACGAATGGAGGAAATGACATCCACTTATCCCCTATAACATATGGCATTACCTGACCAAGCTCCTCGTTCAAATTAGAAGTCCTTGCTTGTGCAGGGGTGTTACTCTCAGGGTGGTACATGCACAAGTCATTGTTGATGAATTGAGTGGATTGAATAAACTTAATCATCCGGAAAAGAAAGTGGAGGTAGTGTTCAATAAACCAGAACTGTGCAGGGAGTTTTTAAAAAAGTAGAAAGGCGTGTGAGATCTACCTCGACAGAAACATATAAAGAGATGGGAATAATCGGCGAATACAAAGTAATTAAGGTGAACATAGTCAAAGCAGCAACCTGCATGCCACCCAAAATCACGTGCTTTAAGCAAGGATCGTACACAAAGAATCTAAATTTTAAACTATTACTTTAGGCATGTCCTGATCATTACCGCAAATCGATTATTAGGGTTGAATTGTACATCTGCATTCTTGCCAGTCTCAAATCGCAAGTAAAAATACTTGTCATCTATGAACACCCCACTGCGACAATTTCATGAAATATAACAAAAATTTCATAAATAATGCACCTATTAGTACAACATCATGGTATGTGGTAGTATAAACCATTGCAATATAGAGAATATTGGCACATAGTCAAACCTTCCAATGGCTCCCAAGATACACGTGCAAAAGAGAGCACTAAAGAGAGTGAGAATAAGTTTGTCAAGCTTCTTCTCTAAAGTGCTTCTTTTAGACGGAATTTTCATTGCATTCATCATAACCTGTTGTAAATTCAGTAGCAGCAATCGTTTAATAAATAAGTGTTTAAATTAAAATAGCAAAAACCAAAGCAAGAAAAAGGTATGATCAAATCCATCAAAGGATAAAACCATGACATGTTATAAGGAATTTAGGGACAAAAATTTTGGAATGTTCAATAAAAAGACGTGATAAACAACCTGGGCCATTATGCACATCATGACTGAATTGGCCAATTGCTTATTGTTCAAAACATCAATTATTCTTGAATAAGATATATTGTCGTGTGATTGCATCATAGTCACCCACACAAGCTAAAAAATAATCATCCGTACAAGATTAATGGCCTGTAAAAACAACCACCCCAACAATGTATTCGGTGTTTCTCAAACTGCAACCCTGCAAAGTGAAGTGAACTTCAGTAGGTAACGGCTAATAAGATGTCCATATTGAAAACAAATCATAATTTATGGAAAAATAAAACAGGAAACAAATAACTATTGCCAAAAGAGAAAAGTGTAAATATGACTCTTGATTCCCGTGGGGAACATGCAGTAAAGCGTATTTGTTTTGTTACAAATGAATTATGAGTTTAAAAAAACTCCTCCAATTATTCAATATGATTTTTCATTTATTTATTTTAAAGCAATAACATAAGCTCAGATAAAAGCTGGTCAATTAAAAATATGGAGAAAACATGTACCCTCAAAAGAAGTTGATTAGGGCTAAGAGGCGGGAGATTTCACTTCAATTGTGGTTTCTCTTATGCATAAAAGTTGTAACAAGTACTACCCAGTGATTCGGGATCAGGAAACAGCCAGATCTATTCTACAATGGCGTGCTTCACGGAGTTCGAGGCTTCGAGACTCATCTATCGCCGATGAGCACGGACCACGCAATTTCTCTCTCGTTTCATCCACAGTCATGGATGTCCTCATATGAAACGAAGACATCTATCACGCTTCGAATCGTAGCCTTGGCAATGCGAGTGAAATTCGGATTTCTGTACGTCTCGAATTTTCACCTTTCCTCCGAGCTGTTGAGTCTGCCGCAGGGAAGCATGTTGCGGACCATGGACACTCAGCACAGTCGGTTGACCACTGCCGGCGAAGGAGGTATGTTGATGAATTTTTAAGAATTTCATTTTTACTTCAATTTTTTATGTTGATGAATTAATTGGTGGATAATTGGAGAAACTGATCGATTACTTAAACATATATTGAAATAGATATGGAGGATGACCCCTTCATGGCTGGAGGTGATTCTGATACATCTGGGGAATTCTTCACCCCTGTAGTACGACCCGCCTCTCCACTGAGTGACCGGGAAGAAGTGGTTGACAATGATGAGGATGAACGCCGCCAGAAGAGATGCTGCAGATGGATCCCCATATATCTTTACAATGACGAAGGAGAACGGGTTGAGCTCTCGAGATTTCAATTGGCAGGGATTGGAGGCTATTCCTCTTGTGCTCGGGCTATCCGGGAAGCCTACCCAGAGGACTTGCCTCCCCTCGGCGACGGGATTCCCCACATTTTGAATCGATACAATTTGATAATAATTTGTCTTATTGAATATTGAGATATATGTCCATATATATAGGGATTACAAGAGAGAGTCCTATTCCTAGTAGGAAAGGAATAAAGTAATTATGGTAATACAAGAATAAGGAAACTAAATAAAATAATATTAGGAGTCTTCCTATTATCCCCGCAAGCTGATCAAAGGATACGAGGGGCAGCTTGGAACACAAATAATGGAATGGAGTCGGAGGAAGCGGTTTTGTTAGGATATCAGCAAGCGGCTCAGAAGAAGGAACATGATGTATAGTCATAGTGCCAGCCATAACCTCGTCTCGAACAAAGTGACAGTCAGAGCCAACATGCTTCATGCGATCATGGAGAATGGGATTCTTGGTGACACAGATTTTGGACTCATTATCACAATAAATCTTAGGTTTCGTAGGCGGAACATGCAGAGCATCCATAATATAACGAAGCCACATCGCCTCTGCCACCCCCGCGGCCATAGCGCGATACTCAACTTCGGTGGAGGAGCGCGAGACGCGAGTCTGTTTTTTTGTGCACCATGAGATAAGATTCGGCCCCAGCATAAGAAGATGCCCAGTGGTGGAACGACGATCATCTTTGTCATTAGCCCAGTCATATTCCGAATAAACAGCAAGCCTAGTGAATAAGCCAATCATAGTGTAGAGCAAGGTGGGAATCGTAGAGTAAAGCAATGACAGTCTCAACGAGATGCCGATGCTTGCGTTCAGTAACACCATTCTGTTCAGGGGTGTAAGGGCAGGACGTGTGATGCAGAATCCCAAGATTTTGAAGAAAAATGCCAAAGGCTGTATTTACAAATTCTTTCCCATTATCACTTCGAAAAATCTGAATATTTGAATTAAATTGAGTTTTAAACATTTTTTCAAAGCTAGTGAAAACGGAGTAAGCTTCCAATTTGTGTTTGAGAGGGTAAATCCAAGTAAATTTACTAAAATAATCATCCAAGTAAATTTACTAAAATAATCAACAAAGCAGATATAGAAACGAAAACCAGAGATAGATGGAACAGAGGTTGGTCCCCAAACATCAGAATGAATTAGTTGAAAAGGCACTGTGGCCTTATTTTCAGAGAGTTCAAAGGATAAACGACAAGACTTAGACACATGACAGGACTCACAATGTAATTGATCAGAAAATTTAAAACCTAAAGTAGACAAAATAGACTTGGCAACAGCAGGTGCCGGATGTCCAAGTCGGCGATGCCAAGTGGATGCAGTGACAGCTTGACACACAACAGGGATAGGCTTGGTAGGAAGGGTATAAAGACCATGCTCACAGGGCCCGTGTATCGCACCAGATTCGTATCGTTGTTCACTATCTGAAAGGAGTTGGCATTAAAGACAAGAGTGCAATTATTATCTTTGGTAAAGCAGTGAACGGACAGTAAGTTTGAAGGGAGGGGACATGATTAAGTGAGGGGAGGAGAAATTTATCATTCGCGGTGTGAATTGAGCCTGAACCTGTGTGAGAGATGGGTAAAGTATGACCATTACCTGCAGTAATAGTTTCAGTGCCATGGTAGGGAGTCGGAGTTTGCAGCTGTGAAAAATCATGTGTAACATGAGTATTAGCACCTGTATCAAGGTACCAATCACCAGTTTGGTTGGTTGTGGTTGCATACATAGCACGAGAATTGCTAGCCGAGTTGCTCTCAGTAGAAGAATCATCATAGCGGTAGTAGCAGAGTGGCCACGCTTTGAACAGATCTGACACACTGGAAGATCGCGTGACGGTCCGCGGCCTCCCCCCATTCCGTAGCTTCGACCGCCGCGACCGGATCCAGAGCCTCACCCAGAAGACGGTCGACCATTCGGTCCACCTCGACCGCTGTTTGTGTACAGTGCAGAGTGAGAAATTCCGGAGGCAGAATCTGCAATACTCAATTTTTGCTCGATTTCAAGATTTATTTCTTCAGAGGTCAACCACCCAGAGAGTTGATTGAGACTTATATTCTCATTGTTCATCCGTATATTTTGCTTGAAGGAGGAATATTCATGAGGGAGGCCTCGGATAACAGCATTCACCACATCTCTCTCAGGAATAACCTCGTTGAGAGCATCCAAATCGGTGAGGATAGTGGCAACTTCATCAAGGTACTGGGTGATAGTTTTAGTACCTTTGCGGAGTGTGTGAAGTTGATCTGAAAATACAGTTGATCTGATTGAACATTTACGTCTTCAGGAGCAAGACGGAGGGGGCGAGGTGCTGGATGGTGAAGATGAGGACGACCCCGACACTCCCAGCACTTCCAGCATAGATTATCTGTTGTCGTCGTCATCGGCCTTTAGAAGGTCGACGACTCTGAGGAGACCTCTGAACAACAACACAACGAACCATGGTACTGAAATATACCCAACTACTCCTTAGAGGGTTTAATAGGAAGACTCCTAATATTATTTTATTTAGTTTCCTTATTCTTGTTGGGGTCGTCCTCATCTTCACCATCCAGCACCTCGCCCCCTCCGTCTTGCTCCTGAAGACCTAAATGTTCAATCAGATCAACTGTATTTTCATCATCATCCTCTTGATCAGACGACGATTCACTTGTAAGCTCCGGGTACTCCAAGACATTGTTATGGGTATCGAGGTAAACAAGATTGCTCATTCGCCAAGGATGGTCCGAAAGTATCCCGTCGTCCCAGGGTTCCTCGACCCGGTAGGATGCTGCGTAGAAATGAATGACATTAGCAAGGAAATGCGGCGTAGAGATCCTCCCCCATGGTATAGGCATGTGAGTCACCCTGTTGTCGTCGTCATCGACCTTTAGAAGGTCGACGGCTCTACCTGGAGGAGACCTCTGAACAACAAAATAACGAACCATGGTACTGAAATATGTCCAACTACTACTCCTTAGAGGGTTTAATAGGAAGACTCCTAATATTATTTTATTTAGTTTCCTTATTCTTGTATTACCATAATTACTTTATTCCTTTCCTACTAGGAAGAGGACTCTCTCTTGTAATCCCTATATATAGGGACATTTATCTCAATAAGACAAATTATTATCAAATTGTATCATGGTATCAGAGCTTAGGTTTAAACCCTAGCCTTTTTTTCGAGACTGTGCTTCACCGCTGGTCTCCTCCCTCTCGCCGGTCGACCGTAAACGGCGACCATGGCTCAACCTTCAGATCCGCTTGCTTCGCTTTCTTCTGGCGTCAAGCTTCTTCTCCGCAATCTCCATAATCTTATCCCAGAAAAGCTCACCGATTCAAATTACCCTGCATGGTCTCTCAATGTCAGAACTGCTCTCGAGGCCAACCTTCTTCTTGGTTGGATCGATGGTCATGAAGCTGCGCCCCCAAAAATCCTATCCAAGGATGGCAAGGAAAACCCTAACCCAGAGTTCCAAACATGGACTGTGATCGATACTCAGATCCGTGCATGCCTTCTTGCCGTCATCAGTCCGTCTGTTCACAAGCATGCCCGCAACTTCACCACATCTGCCGATCTGTGGAACGCTCTCGCTGCCCGTTATAATTCTGTTTCTACCGCTCACATCTATCAACTACGGGACAAACTTCACACACTCCGCAAAGGTACTAAAACTATCACCCAGTACCTTGATGAAGTTGCCACTATCCTCACTGATTTGGATGCTCTCAACGAGGTTATTCCTGAGAGAGATGTGGTGAATGCTATTATCCGAGGCCTCCCTCATGAATATCCCTCCTTCAAGCAAAATATACGGATGAACAATGAGAATATAAGTCTCAATCAACTCTCTGGGTGGTTGACCTCTGAAGAAATAAATCTTGAAATCGAGCAAAAATTGAGTATTGCAGATTCTGCCTCCGGAATTTCTCACTCTGCACTGTACACAAACAGCGGTCGAGGTGGACCGAACGGTCGACCGTCTTCTGGGCGAGGCTCAGGATCCGGTCGCGGCGGTCGAAGCTACGGAAGGGGGGGAGGCCGCAGACCGTCACGCGATCTTCCAGTGTGTCAGATCTGTTCAAAGCGTGGCCACTCTGCTACTACCGCTATGATGATTCTTCTACTGAGAGCAACTCGGCTACCAATTCTCGTGCTATGCATGCAACCACAACCAACCAAACTGGTGATTGGTGCCTTGATATAGGTGCTAATACTCATGTTACGCATGATTTTTCACAGCTGCAAACTCCGACTCCCTACCATGGAACTGAAACTATTACTGTAGGTAATGGTCATACTTTACCCATCACTCACACAGTTCAGGCTCAATTCACACCCAGAATGGTAAATTTCTCCTCCCCTCACTTAATCATGTCCCCTCCCTTCAAACTTACTGTCCGTTCACTGCTTTACCAAAGATAATAATTGCACTCTTGTCTTTAATGCCAACTCCTTTCAGATAGTGGACAACGATACGAATCTGGTGCGGTACACGGGCCCTGTGAGCATGGTCTCTATACCCTTCCTTCCAAGCCTATCCATGTTGTGTGTCAAGCTGTCACTGCATCCACCTGGCATCGCCGGCTTGGACATCCGGCTCCTGCTGTTGCCAAGTCTATTTTGTCTACTTTAGGTTTTAAATTTTCTGATCAATTACATTGTGAGTCTTGTCATGTGTCTAAGTCTTGTCGTTTATCCTTTGAACTCTCTGAAAATAAGGCCACAGCGCCTTTTCAACTAATCCATTCTGATGTTTGGGGACCAACCTCTGTTCCATCTATCTCTGGTTTTCGTTTCTATATCTGCTTTCTTGATTATTTTAGTAAATTTACTTGGATGATTATTTTAGTAAATTTACTTGGATTTACCCTCTCAAACACAAATTGGAAGCTTACTCCGTTTTCACTAGCTTTGAAAAAATGGTTAAAACTCAATTTAATTCAAATATTCAGATTTTTCGAAGTGATAATGGGAAAGAATTTG